ATAAATAAAAAGAAAAAAAAAAAAAAAAGAAAAAAGTTCTGTCATTTCAATGTATGTACATATGTGCTTTATGTTTTTTATTATTTATTTACTACAAGGTCAGGAATTGTTATCTTTTAAATTTTTTTTTTACTGTTTCACTTCATTACTGCTGTGTATGTGTTCCATGTGAGTGATGTAGGTGGTTCTAACTTATGGCAAAAATCACATTACATTGTGTGGTAGGAAAGGATCTCCGATGTAACCCAAGGACCTGCTGTGTATACAGTGATATATAGTCATATACATATATATTTAGTCATATATTTTAGTCATATATGTATTTAGTTATATGTGTTAAAGTTATAGTTATCTATATACAAAACCCTATATAAGTAGACCGAGTGGTGAAACAACCAAACAACTGTTCACTGTGACATGTGCTGACCAACAGGGGGCATGTGCAGAACATGACAGGCGTCGGCCTCAGCAGATGATGGAGCAGGTGAGCAGGGGTACCAGACCAAGGTGGGATGCCAATCGCTGTCATAGGGGAGAAACTCTGATGGTTACTGAAAATTATTTGCTTCCGTGTGTCACGGTCCTGCCCTGCGCTCTCACCTGCTGTCGGTGTCAGCTCCACTCCCACCCACTGCCTTCTCCTAGTGCTGGTCCCGATAATCCCTTAGTGCTTCTCCACCTCCCCCTGCTCCTGAGGGGCAATTGGGACAGCAGCCACTGCTCACACACACACTTACAGCACTGGTCTTGCTTGTACCTGCAGCTGGTACCAGCCCCAATTGCTCCATGCCGTCAGTGGGTGCGAGTGGGACCAGCACCATCAGCACATGGGAGCAGGGCTGCTGGCAGACAGGGGATCATGGGGGAGGGGGAGGGACAGGGGCCAAGGCAGGGACACAGAGGATGGGTGGAGACCTGCGCCTATGCCCACCTCAGCCTCATGGCCCAGTTTCTTTCAAGTTCATATACTGGGCCCCTAGTAGTTATATATATGAAAAATGCAGACTGAGAAATAGGGGAAAGTTCACAGCTCATCCAATAACTATCAATGGCATACTATAGCAGTCATGGATTTTAGATTCTGTAACTTATTTAGGGAACTGGATTGTATGTGACATGAATGTCTTAGAATCATCATACCACACAATCAAAGACATTATCTGCACAGTTAAAATTAGTATTATTATGAAGAATCAACTTGGGGGAAAATCTGATTAACTACTAAGAAAGACCATCCTGCAAATTAGGTTAAAATCTCCATTTTTGGCTGTGTTGACTGACTCAGAATTCATACTTCCTGCTTGCCACTAATAATATTATATCTTATAATTAAAAAATAATAATTTTGAAAGACAAAATCAGAAATAATACTATGAAAGGTAGCAAAAAAAATGGAAACAGACTTACAAAAATAAAAATCATAAATATTAAAACATCAAGAAATAGAATAGTACTAGTAGTTGAGGGATAATAGAGGAGTTATCTAAAAATATTTCATAAAATGTAGGAAAGTAGTATTTTATATGTTCTGTCAACAAGGATAGAGCGAATCAGTGGTTAAGTAACTTGTCCCATTATATATACCAGAGGCTCAATGCACGAAATTCATGCAAGAGTGGTCCTTCCCTTGGCTGCTGGCAGCTGCTTCCCTCTAACACTGGAGACCTGGGCTTCCTTCAAGTCCTGGCTTTATCTGGAAGGGCTTGCAGTCTAATTAGCATGTTACACTTTCATTTTGTGTGTGTGTGTGTGTGTGTGTGTGTGTGTGTGTGCGCGCGCGCGTGTGTGTGTGATGGCTTATAGATATCAAAAGTAAGATTAAGATATAGGCCTTTTGGCTCTAAACCCATGATATGCTTAGAGTTTGAAATAGTATAGGGTAACTCAGACTCATATGCTTTTGTAGTAAATTAAAATTGCAAATAGTGCAAACTATTTGAAAACCAGTGCAGCATTTTTGTATTAAAAAGCATAAAAATGTTTCATAACTTTGGATTCCACATTCTCCTGTCTGAGTTTCTACATAGGGGAATTAATCCAATATGTGGAAATTATATACATAAAGATATTCATGACAATATTTTAATTAAAAGAGCAAAAATTGGAAGCTACCCAAATGTTCCACAATAGAACAATGGTTAAATAATATATGGTACACTAGACATATGATAAAATATAGTTTTAAAGTGAGAACATATTTATATTTATCTGTAATGTTAGGGAAAATTAAGACATAAAATTATATGATATATATATATACGTATATATATGCCTAAGAAACTGTTCAACCATTCAACTGTTTAACCATTCAACTGGTCATTTAACATACACTGACCACCAGGGGGCAGATGCTCAATGAAGCTGCTGACCTTTGGTGGTCAGTGTGCAGGAACCTCGCTCAGCTGACCAGAGGGTGCCAGATGCTGGCAAGTAATTGCTCTCACACAGACACTGCCCCTGTACGCCCCTCTCCCATCTAGACCTGGACCAGGATAAAGACCTGCATCGGGACTGACTGGACACAGCCGCTCCTCAGTCAAGGGTGTGATTGGTATCACCCTAGGTTGGGTGCAGAGACTGCAGTGGACCAGCAGCAAGCCTACTGAGCAGCAGTGGCAGCAGGTGCAGAAGGGCTGGCATGAGTGGGAGTGGCACAGCGCACAGCCTGGGCTCAGACTCCTCCCCTGCTGACTGCCACTTCCTGCACTACTACATCCCTATGGGGATGTTGGACTGCCAGTTTTGGACCAGTCCAACAACCCAAGGGGTCCCGGATTGCCAAAGGGCACAGGCCAGGCTGAGGGACCCCACTGGTGCACAAATTCATGCACCAGGCCTCTAGTACTAAACATGTAATAAAAATATAAGAGGGGATACACACAACAAAAATCACACAATTCTCTGAGGTGATAAAAGAGTAAGTTATCTATACTTCTAGCTTTAGATACTTACATCTATTTTTAATGTTTTTAACCTCAATTCAAGTGATCTCATATAAAGTTCAACATTTATATGGTTGATGAAGTCTATCATTAGAATAGAAATTGACTAGTGGGGGAAGATGTGGATGAGAGATTTCAACTTTAGGAGTGTTACTTATGAATATTTTTGCATCTATGTTCATCTGCGATACTGAATTTAAATTTCTTTTTTTAAAGTGTCTTTATCTGGTTTTGGAATCAGGATAATGCTGGTGTCATTAAATAGGCTTAAGAGACTTCTCCCCTATTTCAATTTTTGGAGTTTGAGAAGGATGAATGTTAGTTTTTCTTTGAATGTGTGATAAAATTAAGCTGTGAAGCCAGCCAGTCAGGACTTTCATTTGTTGGTATTTTTTATTACTACTTGATTTTGTTCTTCATAATTGGTATAATCAGATTTCCTGTTTTGTGGTGGTGGGGGGGTTATTTAGTCTTGAAATACTATGTTTCTAAGAGTCTATCTATTTATTCTAAGTAGTCCAATCTGTTGGCATATAATTTTTCACATTATTTTCTTATAATCCTCTGTATTTCTGTGGTGTCAGTTGCCACTTCGCTTTCATTTCTGATTTTATTTATTTGGGTCCTCTCTTTTTTTTATTAATGGGTGGTTAAAGGTTTATCAATCCTCTATCTTTTCAAAGAGCCAGCATTGGTTTTACTGATCTTTTGTATTGATTTTTTTCAGACTCTTTTCATTTATTTCCACTCTGATCATTATTTCCTTCCTTCTACTATCTATAGACTTTTTTAAAATAGATTATCTAGGTATAAGGTTAAATTGTTTATTGAGGTTTTTTTTTTTTCTTGATGTAGCCTTGTATTCACTCTGAATTTCCCTCTTGAGAATACTTTCACTGTGACCCATAGAATTTTGGATGGTTGTGTTTTTATTTTCATTTGTTTCAAGGTATTCTTTTAAATCTTCTTTAATCTCATTGGTAAGCCATTCACTGTTTAGTTACATGTTGCTTAGCCTCCATGTGTATATATGTTTTTTCTGTTTTTATCTTATGATTAATTTTGAATTTCATACCATTGTGGTTGCAGAAGATGTTTGATATAATTTCAATCTTCTTAAATTTAATCAGATCTGTTTAGTGACCTAACATGTGGTCTATCTTGTAATATGTTCCTTGTTTACTTGAAAAGAAACAATATATATTCTGCTTTATGGATAAGATGCTCTGAAAACATCAATTAGATCCATCTGGTCTAATGTGTCATTTAAGACCACTGTTTCCTTGTTGATTTTCTGTTTGGAAGATCTACCCATTGATTTCTATACAAATTTGTGCACCAGTGGGGTCCCTCAGCCTGGCCTGTGGGATCGGGTCAAAACTGGCTCTCTGTCATCCCGCGAGGGGTCCCAGATTGCAGAGGATGCAGACCAGACTGAGGGACCCCACTGGTGCACTATTGGGCAGGGATGAACGCAGGAGCTCATAACCAGAACAGATCATCTCAATGCACAAAATGTGCTCTGACAAACAGCTCTTCCCCTCTCCCTCCTTCCCATAATCTAACAAGGCGCATTCTCGACATTTAGGCCACTCCACGTTATCATGAGTTTCTGTCACCTCTCCTCCATTAAACCTGTACAGCCGTGTGATTCACCTTTATTCCAGGCGCAGGAGGAGATATTCTTCATTCCTCTTTCTCACATAACTCATTCCAAGCGCCAGGGCTTGGAAGGATAAATGGTTCGGATGGCCTAGGAGAGAAGAGTGCTTCCGTGTCTTTAACTGATTCTTCCTTAATGTCAAGGCAGCACCTCCTGTTGCTTTGCTGAGTCCTGCTCAGCTCAGCCAGCGCAGGGGCAAATAGGGCAATGCATACAGATGCAGACTGGGCCTCGACTAAGACTGTGATTTTAGCCTCATGGATCGCACCTGCTAATAGAATGATACAGGAGTCATTTCCCACAGATGTGTGTGAGAACCACTTTTGAACGTTCAGATCCTCACAAGCAGAGGGGAAATCTTGACACGAATCTGTCCTGTGATAATGTGTTGACAGGTTAGTTATCGGAAAGACGCGGAACAAGAAGATGCAGCAGAAACAGTCAAGACGAAGGGGAACGAGTCATCCATCACTCTGACAGGACTGGAAGGAAATACCTTGTATCACTTCACCGTGAGGGCCTATAACGGAGCTGGGTATGGGCCACCGAGCGGCGAAGTGAGCGCAACCACCAAGAAATCGCGTAAGTGACCTGCTCTCTTTGTTGGTTTCAGACTAAAAGGAAACATCTAACATTTCTGAAAGCCACAATGAGGTACATCATAAGCAGAGCTGAGGGAGAGTTTAGACCCCCACAGTCTTGTTCATTGCTTAGATCTGATTTCCCAAAATAACTCAGCAATGTCTGCAGTCACAGTGGATAAAGGTCATCTGCCTGTGAAACAAGGCTAAGTGATTTTGACACGAAAGGGAGATAAAAGGATTCGGGTTCAAAGGCTCAGTAGAATAACTATGAAAATGACAACTCTGGAGCAAAGCCCTCCTTTCTGACTCAGGCTGGAAGGAACCTATGGTGCCAGCCAACTATGAAGCAGGCACAAAGACTGCAGGGCAGGGATGTGAGTGAGTGTATGTAAGCCCCGTTTGCCAATTCTCTCCCTTTGTATTTTGCAGCCCCCAGTCAAGCACCCGGCAACCTCAGGTGGGAGCAGCAAGGCGCTGAGCTCTCCCTAGGCTGGGAACCGGTCAGACCATTAGCCAACGAATCTGAAGTCATGGGCTACAAGGTCAGTGTTTCTTCACTCTCTCAGGCAGATGCTGTTCTCAAACTCTGTTATTGTGAGGATGTATAATTAATAAGCCATAAAAAGACCCATCACAGCCCCTAGCCGGTTTGGCTCAGTAGATAACGTATCGGACTATGGACTGCAAGTCCCGGGTTCAATTCTGGTTAAGGGCACATGCCCTGGTTGCAAGTTCAATCCCTAGTAGGGGGGAGGGTGCAGGAGGCAGCCGACCAACGATTCTCTCTCATCATTGATGTTTCTATCTCTCTCTCCCTCTCCCTTCCTCTCTGAAATAAATAAAAATATATATTTTTAAAAAGACCATCACATACCAGTTTTGTTTTTTCTCAGTCATTTTCCACCTGTATTCCTAGAAAGAATTTCCCGCAGTAAGGAAGCCAAGGCAATCAGAATTCATTCCCACTGCACATGGCACAGGAAAGGAATGGGTAGGGAAAGCAACAGCAGTTTGAGTAGAAGGTCCCAGGAAGCACAGGGTCAGAACCCGCAGGATGTAGGCAGAGTGTCCTGGCGTTCTTCTCCACAGACAAACTGTGCAGGTGGATGGAAAATACTAGATCACTATCTGATAGAAAGACTTTCTTTTTTAGCAAAGAAACGGGAAGAAAAATGCTAGGCCAGCACACAGCTTTGGAAGGAGTTCATGAAGAGAGACAGTAAAATTTGAAGTATTTTAATAATTTTTTATTTCCAGAGCTCCAAAGTAGATGTATCATTTCACACAGGATCATCCTGCTTCATGTCAGCAAGAAATCTGGAAATAAGAAAACATTTAGATCATTTGTTCTTGAAAAACAACTTTGTCTCTGATTTTAAAATATATGTGGCCTATGTATTGAATTGGCTGAACTTCAAATTTTAGTCCATACGTCAGATTCGATTTATTGTCTTAAACTCTAGACAGAATCATTGGTTGAATATTACTTATAGCAGAATTTAAAAATATTTCAATGGTAATACTTAGACTGAACACTTTCATTTAGGTGGCTTTTCAGCTACCAGAGATGGTAACATTTTGTATACAAAGTGATAAAATTCTAAAGCTAAAAACAAGAAGTTACAAATGGAATATATTTTTAAGGGAAATAATATCCACTAAGAATATTTTAAGATGCAAACTGCAGCATTTCCTACAGACTGTAATTGGTATGGATCACAGACACCTTCACATTCAAATGAACACTCTCCAATCTGTCCTAATCCCCAAGGACATTGAATTTGGCCTTTTTGGGGGTGGGGAGGGGAGCCATTTTCTGAACCCTTTTCTCAGACCCCGTTTTTTACATTCCCTTCCCCCCTGTCCTCACTACCTGTCCTTTAATGCAAACATACCCTTCAATGATGAGGAGTAGAAGTACAATGAGAGTGACAGACCAAGAGCCACTATAAAACCTCATTAGCATTATGGCAAGCAATCTCCCAAACAGGAGTGGCAAATAGAACACCAGGAAAAGCCAGGGGAAAGCAAATGGCGTCAGGCCCCTCTCAGGTAAGAGGAGAAATACCGTTTAACCTGGAGAACACATGAGGTTGAACATAGGTGCCCCAGATGAGGTGGCCCTACACATTGTTCACAATGGCCATTTCTGTCTCTGTCACTGCTCTTCCTTTTTAGTTTATTTTTATTTATTTATTTATTTGTTTATTTATTTATTTATTTGGTCAATTTTCACCCAAGGATTTTTTTCTATTGATTTTTTAATTTTATTTTAGGGAGAGTGGAATAGAGAGGGAAAGGCTAAGAGGAACATTGATGTGAGAGAAACACATCTATTGGTATGTCCAGTATCTGGGCTGGGGAGGAGCCTGCAACCAAAGATATGTGCCCTTGACCGGAATCAAACCCAGGACCTTCTGATCTATTGGCTGACTATCTACTGAGCCAAACCGGCTGGAGCTGCTCTTTTTATATGTGACTGTCTCTCCACCAGGCTAGATATGATTGAAGAAACGGACTTTGTCTTACTCATCTCTTTTTCCCTGGGGCTTCTAGAATGGACGAATAATTTAATTAACTTTGACCCAGGAAGAGGTATCTATCAATATAGACAGATGCTTTTGTTTGTTTATTCAACTTGGACATCAGTTAGGGCCTTCGGGACTCCTGAGGTGCCTGTCCACTTGGATTGATACTGTATGCCACTCCCTGTGGAATTTTGAAGTGCACTCGTCTATTTCTCCAGCTTCTCAGGGAGTCTAAAGTCTATGGCTATTCCAGTCTCAGTGGTCTCCTGTATCCTAGCGCTTTCTTTCAGCTTATACTCATACCAAACACAGATGCAGCCTCTTTCCTGTGATTCCCATAAGTTAGAAAGACTCAGGTATAATGGCTTATACTATCCTCTCTACATCTGAGTATGCTTAAAATTTTTCATCATAAAATCATTAAGACAGAATTAGCTTACGTAATGTTACATATATATCATACTTCCTGGAAATTCATTAGGGCAAGATTGTAGAGGGAAAGACACACAACACAGATACACATCTGAAAATTGTTTTATTCTTTTTTCTTTTTATTTTGTTAACTACTGTCACTATTTTACTGTACATTATTTCTCTGGGACATATCCAAGATCCTGCACTTTTTTTCTTAAGTGTAGTTGCTATACAATATAATATTAGTTTCATTTTGGGTGTATAATACAATGATTTGACATTTATATACTTTATCACCACACCAGGATTAGTAATCACCTGTTACCATGCAAGTTTATCACAATATTATTGACCATATTCACTTTCACCTTTTTCATCAACCCCCCCACTTCCTTCTTCTCTGGCCACCATCAGTTTGACCTCTGTGTCTCTGAGTCCCATTTTGTTTTGCTTATTGATTTGTTTTCTTTTCTTTTCTTTTTTTTAGATTCCCCATATAAGTGAAACTATATGGTATTTGTCTTTCTCTGTCTGACTTGTCTCACTTAATATAATACCTTCTAGGTCCATCCATGTTGTTCCAAATGACAAGTTTTGATGCAGCCACTATGGAAAACAATATGGAAATTTCTCAAAAACCTAAAAAATACAACTACCATGACCCAGCAATTCCACTTTTGGGTATTTCTCTAAAGAAAATTAAAACATTTAATTTGAAAAGTTAAATGCACCCCTATGTTCATTGCAGGAAAATTTACAATAGCCAAGATATAGATGCAATCCTGGCGTCTATGAATGGACAAACAAGACCCTGTTCTTAAAAGTGCTTTTCAGCCACTCTACAGCCAGTGGCTTCTCCCTGGTACTTGTGGTTCCAACTTCTTTTTATCCAGATTCTATTCATCTTAGTGATTCCTTATCATCTATCCATTGCCACCGGGGGTTGTGAATCCTCACCCTCTATAATGAAGAGCAATTGTCTCCGTTAACCATCCCCCAAATGCTCAGCTGGTGAGCAGGACTTTAATAGGATCCATCCTTTTCAGGGACACTTGTGGGTAGAATCAGCAAAAAAAATGTATTCAGTTGTATTTTTAAGCAAACACACCCTATTATTCTGTTACCATTAGGCATGCACATGAGCTATTTTCAAACTGTGCCTTGGAGAATAGCAGTTCTTTATTAAACTTTTTGCTTAAAAAACTCTATGGATGATACACTGGCTCTCAGTTTTTTAGATAACATTTGAGAATAGTCTTGACAATACATTAGACAATTTCCTTTGTGCCTAAAGATAGCTGTCATCGCAACTGCCGATCTATACACTTCCAGATTTTTAAAACACTCCCTGAACTTTTTACTGTCAATAACTATTTCAGACATGTCTTGATAACTCCTTAAATTTCTCATTCTTATTCATCTTTTCTAAATTAGGATTTTAAAATGAGCCAAGATTCTCTAAAGCACCTAAGACTGACAATGAATTTAATGTCTCTTTTCACTTAGTATGCCTTCTTACAGACTCACAGAAGTACACCTCCCTGGATGTATTGATAAAAATCACATTTAATCTCAAACTCCCTTTGTTACCATCAATTGGTATTTTTTCTGCTTTCACTTTTTGTTCCTAATTCTCAACGGATCCACAAATTTGTCTTCAACTCTGGATTTTACAGCAACATTAGATATGCATTACTGGTTGCATTTTTCTTTGTCATAAGAATTGTAATTTATCTACCCTAATAACAGTGTCCTCTAATACAGTCACTCCCCTGCCAATCCTCACCAATTTACATACATTCCCATTGCCATGTATTTGCTTTCTAATTACCTCATGTGGATGAACAGAATTCTAATTCATTACTCTGCTACATTCAAAATGAGAAGCATGTATTCTGATATAATTGTCATTTTAAAGTCAAAAGAAACTGCTGCAGGCATCATTTAAGAAGTGTTTCTGATTCCCCATATCTTGACTAAGTAAGTACCCACTCCATGAAGTGCTTTACCATCAAATATGTTACCTATTGCAGCACATAATACACTTCATTGCATCATTACCTATATCCACCATGCATTAGACTATAAGTGCCATAAGGGCAGAAAACATATGGTCTCTTTCTCTGGCAAATCTCCAGTATATAGCACTATGCCTGGCTTACATAAGAAATATTCAATAATACTCTTACCACTTTGTAATTACGTTGAGGCTATGGCTTCCTTTCTTATAAGAATTTCAGTGGATACAATTATTGCACATGTCATATACACTTATACAGAAGTATTTTTATTTCATGTATGTAGGTTAGTTTGAGTTAAAATCATATTTTTATAAGAAAATGGTATTATAGATTTTTGTCTAGGTTCTCAAGCCAGTCCATATTTTTTTATGCAAATGTTAATGCTGGCCATTGACAATGAACAATGATGAAGCGAAAGTAGCTTTATCTTATTCCATTTCCCATGCACCAGGTCCTGTGCTAGATATTTCATATGCATCTTCTCATTTTATTCTTCGAACAAAAAGATAAAATAAATGTTAATATCTCTACAGTAGAGGTACTTGAGGTTTGGAAAGGTTGGCAACTTGCCCAGATTTGCCCACACAGGAATGCACAGGAGATTATTTTTATTTTGAAGGAGATTTGTTTTGATTCCTGATCTGTATGATTTACAAAGCTATTGATCTTTCCATTATGCAAAGCAATCATATTATAATACCAACAATTACGAAAAAGCACAGAAATAATGAAACTGGATAAAAATGCATTTTAACATATCTCTTTTTTAAATTTCTTTATTGATTAAGATATTACATGTGTCCTTCTCCCCCTATTACCCCCTAACTCCCCTCCCCTCATGCCAGAGGACTTGTACGCATGCATATGTGTAAGCCTAACGAAGGGACACAGACAACAGGGGGGTGAGGGCATTTTAACATATCTTCACTGCTGCTACTACTTGATTATTAGACACACACACAAAATAAGATTTATTGGGGGTAAATGAGTAGGAACAATACGATATAGTGAAATTTCTCTGAGCTGATCATGAGAATGCTAAACTAATATAATTTCTACCATAACTAGTCACATGACCTTGCATAAATCGCATAATTTCTATGACATTAATATTTTGATATGTAAACAGTATAATTCTGTATCCTAATTTGTTGTTCTGAAACTCTGCCATGAATATATATTCAATTCTAGTGCCATACATAGATATCTGAAAAAGGCTTAACTTCGCTACCCAATGTATCCAAATGCCAGTTCACCAAAAAAACAAACAAACAAAACAAACAAACAAACAAAACACACAAGCAAACCACCAAAGTAAAATTAATAAAATGTTAAACTTCTCAGCCATTTCCTACATTAAGGGTTTACTATTGATAATATATTTATCAAATTTTATTTTTACTTCTTTCAAATGATTAAAGGTTGACAGCTTTGACTACTTCCAGGATACTGTTTCTTCCAATGACCAAGAATAGAAGACACCCAGTGATCCACCCCCTCGCTCCATACTTCTCTGGCCTTGTTTCTTATGAGTCTTCCCAAACATCTCGTCTCTATTCCATACCCCAATAATATGGTTTTTTAGTGCTTAGATGTATATTTTCATCTTCTCTTAACTTCTTTCTAAAATTCTTCTCTCCTGGAACAACTGGTGAACTTGACTCACCTTTAAATGTTTAGCTCAGGCATCACCTCCTCTGAAAAGCCTTCCCTAACCTCCAGACAGTTAAATTCTTCTGTGCTTTCAACAGCACATGGCATATACTTCCAGTCGAGTCACATAGCACATGTATGACATTGTTCTTGTATGTATCTAAGCTATGAGTTCCTTGTATTTAGCTCAGAATGTGGCATACAGTAGACTGTTAACATTTGAAAGACTCACTTGAATATCATTATGTTTAAAACCCTGTCATCATTCCTAGGTTTTTTATAGGCAAGAGGGCCACAGCAACAGTCAAGTGATTGAAACACAGAAACCTCAAGCAGTAGTACCACTCCCCGATGCTGGAGTCTATATCATTGAAGTTCGAGCATCTAGTGAAGGAGGGGATGGAACAGCTAGTTCCCAAATCAGGGTACCATCATATTCAGGTAAGTTTTGACATACTAGGCTTAATTTGATGTCTACTCAAAACATCAAGATGTTATAAACCTCCTAAAAATTAATATGATGAATTGCATGGTCCAGAGATTTTGAAGGGCTTCTTTTCTCACGCTGATTGCCATGTCACACTCTGATTAATGCAAATCATTGTAGTCTGCCCCAAATTGCAGAATTTCTGTAAATTAAAAAAAAAGGAGATGACAGTTTCATTTAAATGCCCTCATTTGCGAAACTCCCTTGCCTTTCCTGATTCCAAGCAGTACCTTGTCATTTGGGTTTTGAAATATTGCTTTTAAACTAGGATAGCTCTAGTTTGAAATACCTATTTCTCTATTGTCTTGACTTCCTTCATCATTACATAATGGAGCATGAGGGATGGGAAAGTTCAAAGGGAATATTTTTTTAAATTTCAGAGAGAGGAAGGGAGAGGGAGAGATAGAAACATCAATGATGAGAGAGAATCATTGATTGGCTGCCTCCTGCACTGGAGGTCCAGCCCACAACTTTGGTATGTGTCTTTGACTGGAATTGAACCCAGTGTAGATCAGTGGTTGGCAAACTTCGGCTCAAGAGCCACTGCAGCTTGTGATCTGAAGTTTTTCACTCTTTACTAATGAGTTTGCCGACCACTGACCTAGACACTCAATTCCAATAATTACAGTCTGTTGTTGTTCCTTATGATTAAGCCCCTATCCAAGTGGTCGGCAAACTCATTAGTCAACAGAGCAGCAAACCACAGCTTGCAAGTCGCAGTTTGATGACCATTGGTGTAAATTATAAAGCAAGAATGATAAAACATAATATTTAAGGAATCAAAATGAATTCCTTGTTCCAGTCTTATAACTTTTTGGTACATCTTAAATTACTTTAAAAGGAAAAATTAAAAGTAAAAAAACATAAGATGCAGGAAATCTGACTTTTTCAGAAATTCAGATGAAAATACTTAAGAATATAAATATGTTGTGACCACTCAAAAAGTTATTATACTTTATAATTCATTTATAAAAATATAGTTTCAAGAAAACTATTATAATGTAGAGACATTGATTAGTTCACAATAAAACTGTTTAAATGTGAATGTTAAATCTTAAAGAGTACTTTGAAAGACTAAAGATTATTTTGAAAAGTGAAAAAGATGATAGTCTCTTTGCTTCATAATCTCAGATTTCTAATAACAATACTACAAAGAGCTTATACAGTGCCCTACTTATGTTCTTGGCATTATGCTAGTTGTTTTTCAGATGTTGTTATTTTCTCCTTATAGCAACCTCATGTGTTAAGTATTTTATTATTCTCTAACTCTCTAAGATTCCTTTCATACTCAAATGCAATCAAATTCTAAAGTATCATTTGAATAAGATCAACCCAAGCTTAGAGGAATTTATAAAGATTTTGATTCTCCCATTTAAGTAGGAACAGCCCTAACTGGTTTGGCTCCGGTGGATAGTGTCGTTCTGCGGGCTGAAAGGTCCCAGGTTTGATTCCAGTCAAGGGCACATGCCCAGATTGTAGGCTTGATCCCCAGTGGAGGGTGTGCAAGGGAGATGTTTTTGTGAAATGTCATGTAGGTAAATAAATAGAAAGGATGTGTTCAGTTTCTTTTTATTAAGCATGCACATACCACTCTAGTGAGGCTTTGTCATCATGCCTTTTTGTAGCTAAAATGTGGCCATGCACTTCATAATAACCTCATTTTGTACAAGCCAAAACATATGTAATATTCTCCAATATGTTGATTAATAGGTTTTAGTAATACCTTACCTGTAAAAAAATTTCAAAGATGTGTTGTTTTGTATGTGTGTGGCTTACCAAACAAGTGATTCTTTGGCGCTTAAGTAACCATGTGAAAATAACTCTATTTCTGTAATGAAAATCACACCCAGAATGTTGTAAAATTTAATCTGGCCAGAGAAGTTAATGTGATAGAAGAATGATTTCAAAATTGAGTGGTAGATTTTATTATTAATCCATCATTAAGGTCTTAACCCAGGCCAATCATTGTTTTAAGAAAGACAATACATAAGAGCATCTGATTTTACTAATCCCTAGCTCAGTGAATTTCAGCAAGTTCTATAATCTTTCTAAGTCTGGTTCCCTCATTGGCAACAGGAGAGTAAATATTACTTGCTCTATATGAATGTTGTGAGGTTCAAATAAGATAATATATATAGTCCTTGCCTGTTTGGATCAGTGGTTAGAATGCCCACTGAAGGGTCACTGGTTTCATTCCTAGCCAAGGATAAATACATCCCCAGTGCCTATAGGGGCACGTGGGAGAGATAACCAATCAATGTATCTCTATCGCTATGATGTTTATCTCTCCTCCTCCTCCCTCTCCCTTCTTTCCCCTCTTAAAAAGAAATCAATGGGGGGGGGGGGAGAGAAACAAATCTCAGGTGAGGATTTAAAAAAAAAAAAAGAAAAAAGATAATATGTATAGCACAGTGCATGGCATGCAGTATGCATTCATTAAATATAAGTTATGATGATGATACTTCAGAAGACATTTAGTTTGAAGAACCATTTCTGAAGTTAGATCTAAGAGTAGCACTTAGTTTGTGATTATGTAGAGCTATGAGAACTACTTCAAACTAATCAATTCTGATCAGTCACTTCAATCAAACAACCACCTTATACATTAACTGCATAAATGTGTTTTGGGTCTCAAGAAGGAAGAACTTCTAGTTGAAAGCAAGAATAATGAAATATAACTCTCCATTGGAAACTTTGGTATGAGAATCTACTCAAGTGAAACTCAAATCAATCAAGAACCTTTAAATAAATGTAATAATATGCTAGTATTAAATTGAAAAAAATGGCTGAAATAATTAAATTATACATTTTTATTGCCATAAACTTTTACAAATTGCTTTTATTCCATGCCCTCCACTGTGTACTATAGAAATTGTTTTGTTTTATGTACTTGTAATGTGGGATGTTTTCCATTATTACATTATTGGTAAAACTTACTCTGAATCTTCTAATTAGATGTGTTTATTAGACATGGCATTGCCTTTTTAATAAAATATTTCATATATACTTTGGACCTCCATAAAACTTATGGGAACCCCAGACAATGTCTCATTTCATAAATACTGGAAACACTCTCATCAGACAGAGAACCAATGTTGCATGCATTTGTCTTATACGCCTGAAAACAATTCTTTCCTAGCTCAAGTAAAATCAAAATAATTTGCTCTATTGCTGCTTCTCTCTTTTCACAGGTGGAAAAATCACTAGTGCTCAGTCAACCCTCCATACTCTCTCCACATCTTCATCATCAGTAACGTTGCTCTTGGCATTGATGATTCCTTCAACCTCTTGGTGAAAACTGCAGACTTAGTTTGCTTTACTCTGATAATAGTGGTGAAGAGTGTACTGTAAGTGGAGACCCAGGACATTGGAATGAGCTTTAAAAACTTGGGATTATACATGATGCACTTATAGGAGGATGGAGGAAATATTACTTAACCAACAGGTTTTTCTTGTTTTTTGTTTTGTTTTGTTTTGTTTGGTTTGGTTTTTTTTGTCAATGGAGAGGACAGTGCGTGGTCCAATAAAAATATGCAGGTTGTATGCAATGATTTTTTTTAAAGCAATGGTAATGTCTGTCTAATACATTCTTTACTTTTTTAAAATGTTGGAATTTGATTTTATATCTGATAACTCTAAGTGTGTGCCATCCATTTGTTAAGAAAGTGGTTTCTAGCAGATCTGTTTCAAACACAAATCCAAAACCGAGAATGAAAATTTTGGTTAAGACTCTGAATCTACTGTTTTATCATTTTCCCTTTGGCTGATATTTCAATTGACAACATGACAGGAGATATAAAAAAAAAAAAAAATACTTCAGTTGTGCAGGCCATTATAGGACAAGTATACAAAAATTTTCTGAAAAAATATTGTATGACTGCATAGTGAAATAGCAAAATTTGTCAATATGCTATTCTATATGCATCCCTAGAGCAAGTTATTAGGGTAGGGAATAAGCCATTTATATTAGTGCAAGATGAATAGAAAGTGAGTCCAAATGAATTTAAATGATGTTGTTTTTCATCCAGTTCTATGTTATCTAGCTGCAAATATATTAAATGATTATTTTTAATAACAAAAGATAGTTTAAAGTCACAAAAAACATGGTTACTGAGAACTGCAGACACTGACTTGCTGCAAAGGGTGCCAACTTGTAAATGAAATGACGACAGACACAGCTTCCTGTTTCCACACCTACTGCCAAAACAGAGGTGGAATAAGGTCCAAGGCTTTCTTCTAACTGCAAATCATTTTCAGGATAATAAAAAATCGTTGTGCAAATAATTATGCATACAGTTAGTCTGTAAATTGAAACAGTTCAAGCATAACAAATTTTGATATTTAAACAGTTCTGTGAGTCACATACCTCTTATAAAGTGTTACCAACTGTTAAAAGGATCTCTTGGCTAAACTGATTTTTTAAATTAAACTGTGGAAACATGGTCACAGTACAAAGTGAGCCCCATTTGCTGTGTGGAGGAGTCAACCAAGACCTATTTGATCCTAGATAGTTGTTAGGAAGTGAGGTGAAAGTTTGCTGCTTGGTGATATTTTTACAGAAGTTCTGACCAACATGAGAACTTGCATCACACCCAAGAAGATGCCTGAAGGGAAAGTTATTGCCAAGTCATACACCAAAAAACAGCCTGCATGTTAACAGGTGAAGTTAATCTATACTAATAAAAGGGTAATATGGTAATTACACTGGATCAACCAGACATCTTCCAGATGTCTGACATCCTTCCGGATAAAGCTAAGGCCTGGCCTAGCAGAAGCTGCTCCAGGGGAAGTTAAGCTGGCCGTGGTCATGCTCCTGAGTGCCTATGGCCAGCCAGAGGGAAGGAATCCTGGGTTCTGGGTGCCTGCAGCCAATCAAAGGGAGGGAAGCTAGGGTCCCAGGTGCCTACAGCTGGCCAGAGAGAGGGAAGCCTGGGGGGTCCTGGGTGTGGGGGCCAAGGCAGAGGCAGTTAGGGGCGATCAGGCAGGCAGGCAGAGGCAGTTAGGTTCAATCAGGCAGGCAGGCAAGTGGTTAGGGGCATTCAGGCAGGCAGGCAAGTGAGCAGTTAGGAGCCAGCGGTCCCAGATTGTGAGAGGAATGTCCAACTGCCAGTTGGGATCTGGCCTAAACTGGTAGTTGGACATCTCCCCAAAAGGTCCTGAATTGCAAGAGGGTGCAGGCTGGGCTGAGGGACCCTCCTTCCATACACTAATTTTGTACACTAGGCCTTTAATATGAGAAAAATTAGCAATTTCTTTTATAACTTTCATTCTATTTGCATCTTTAACAGGAAGCCAAATGAAGCAATATTGAGCTCAAACTGGTGGCTCTAGAGGTTAATTCCTATAGAATCAGAGGAGAGATTTAAATTTCTATTCTGAATACCCTAAAAGATTAGTTTCAGAGCCACAGTACAATTATTTATGATGGTTACTCCTGTTTTTTAAGAAATTATGTCCAAAAAAACCCTTAACAAGTAGTGACTTAAAAGATTATTTGAGTTAACAGATTATTCTAATAAATTACTGCATACGTTGAATATTGAAGTCAGTGAATAATAATGACCAAATGGCCTTCCTTGAGCACCTCTGTATTGGGTGGAGCTGGAATTTGCAGAGAGGGATGCTACTGGGCAGGCAAAATATGAGCTTTCCTGGGTGTAGCATAGCTTGCAGGAGCAAAATGTGCACCTGAAAAGAATGCAGCAAGAATATTTAAAAATGGGCAATAATTTTTATTTTATATTTTATTAATTAAACCGTTTTCATCATTTTTCATGGTGTTTTATATAAGACTTAGTGACAGACTTTAAAAATCAAGTTATTACTATAACTCTTATAAAATAACCTCCAGCACAAAATATAAAGTCAGTATAGGGCAAATTCAAATTAACCAATATTTTCACCAAGCTGATGGATGGTATATATCTGACAGAATATTTAAATATAGAATTCTGGTGTTGTATTCTAAGAGAAATCAAAGATATGGGATGTTTTTACTCGACATGCAGAGAATAGGTATTTTGCATCATAAACCTATTTTTAAAAATAGGTTTGAAATGTTTATGTACTTATATATTGCATACTTGTTACTTTGAAGAAAACAAAACAACTTTCTTTATCAAGGTACATTATTTTCCAGCTGCAATACTAAGTGAGCTTTTTCTTGGATGGGATAATAACCGCACAGTCTTAAATCACTAAAGAGACTGTATTTTTGTATAATGTCAATTGAACTATGAAGAAAAAAAAACACTCCTCATAATTAAAAATTCCATGAAAGTGAATGTTTTCCATACCTACATGAAGGCATTGTGGACCCCCTGCCAAACCGTCAAATATATTGTATACAGTGTGTATATATGTACTATATATAAGGTTATATACCGTGTGGAAGGCACAGTCAGATAATAATTCTGTGTACTGTTCTTGTAACATTAGATCTTTTTAATAAATAATTCTCTTTTTATTGACTTTTATCTTCTCTCCTGTCAACTATATGAATGTCATTATTTATGTCACATAAAACACATATACTCATGATTATGGTAATGTTTTCACACTGAAAATATCATTATCCACAGATGTCCATGGCTGTTTCAACTTGACAGTTGGAAGCTACCTCAAAGAATAACTAAGCAAAAAAGCAGTACAAATGAGATAAGTTCATAGTTAGATGCACGATTTATTTCTTCTCAGGATGGAGACTTTATTAAATGAGTTTTGTAAATAGTTTGGTAAATGTGTACTTCTGCTTCTATTAGGAACAGCATATCCCAAGTACAATTCTCCTAGGCAGCTATTCACTCCTTTGTGCTCCCTTAGCACTCACTGTGTGTACATCTCCATTATAACAACCATCACAAGATGTTACGATGATTTGTTTATGTGTATTTCCCCTTCACTAGTCTATGAGATCCTCCAATCATTTTAGGATTTCTCTCACCAGTGTCCAGTACATGTCAAGTTAGCAATTAATTGCATTTATGTGAAGGTTGGCCTTAAACATTTCCTTTAGACGAGACTTTCCAGACCTGAGTCATCATCCAAATCTTGGAGCTCTGACTCAGTAGGTCAGAGACTAGGGAACCTGTATTTTCAAAATCTTCCCAAGAGCAAAAGGGTATAACTAATGAAGAGAATTTAGCAATAAGTAGTAAAATTTTTATAGATTTACCATTTGACCTGGGAATCCTGGGATTAGGAATCTATTTCTAAGAACGACTAACAAAAATATGCAATTTTATGTGAATATATAAGGTATAAGTTATACAAGGTAAATATATGCTCACTTTTGTGTAAGTGGGAAAATACACACATATTTGCTAATATTTGCTAAAAGATATAATGGAAGAATAAACTAAAGACTAATAAAAATTGTGATCTACCAAGATAGGAGAGAATGGGACATGGTAATAAATATGCAAGCAAGCTCTTTCTCAATGTATTTATTTCTTAGTTTTAACCTTGGAAGTACATAAATGTTTACATTAATTTAAAAATCAAACAAAAAGAAAACAGCAACCTCCAAAAAATAAGTGGGAAATAAGAAAACTAACCATAACAACTGTTGGTTAATAAGCTAAAATTTTTTTATAGAACTTAACTTTATGGATAAGTCTTTCCAGTCAGTATGTTGACAGTACATCCTAATGAGGCATACATTTCAAGAACAACACACACACATCAAAAGTATAAATTCTTAAACTGCATTCATTGGTCTTCTTGTGAGTAGCACAACTAGTTGAATTATTTTTAAACTAGCCAATATATAAATATGAATGTGATAAGTATTTAAAATGTACATTTTGGGGATAAGAGAAAAGAGATACATATACAAATTTTTTAGTTAAATAAAATTTGTAATCTTTGATTTATCAGTATGAAATATCAGTGTGAATTTGTAGTTTGACATTTTTCTTAAAAATGACCTATTATTTAGCTTTGTGAACTGAAAAGGCTAGGAGAACATTGAATACTCTCAATAGATAAATAATACAAGTACTGATTAAATAATGCACAAATTTTTCCCTTCAAATTTCATTCATCTTTAAAAGGAAATTTATTGCAGAAATCGTTGATTTAAGGTCTTGGATATGAAGTGAACAAGATGAATCCAAGTTTTCTTTTTGTGCCTTTAAAGACTACCATCTGTGTGAGATAAATTGAGCTCAAAAAAGAATAATGACAGACCAATAATAATAGACTGAAACAAAAGTAATATCTAAAAATCCATGGTTTCATACTAATATTCACACAAAACTTTGGTTATCTTTGTTGGATGCAAGATTTATCATT